TCTATTTCTTCTTTGGGAGATAACAGACGTGGCTGAAGGATTTTGCTAGGTAGAGTTGGGGTGTTATTTATGGTGCAAGTTTTTTTTTTTTTTTTTTGTCCTGCAGCCAGAACCAACTCTGAACCTCCCTGGGTTTCTCCACCCAGACACTGAGAAAATATTTTAGGTTCTAGGTCTGTTTAGGTTTTAGGTCTGGGAAATACAAAATCCCCCAGTTCTAGGGGGTGTGTGCTGCTGAATATGAAATAATTAAATTACAAGGCATTACAAGGACACAAGAGATGCCTTTAATCTTTTATTGTACATTATAAAATGTTTATTGCTCTGTCTGTATCAGAGGTGGGGACCTCTCCTTCTTGGTGATGGAAGAGTATGTTCAGGCAAAGGATCCTGGAGACACCTTTGGGTTTGGCCTGCCTGGAACCAGCACATCTGCAGGAGAACTTCCCAGTGCCTTTTTCCCAAACTTTTGGGAAAAGCTGGTGACAGGGGAAGAGGAGAGATGGCAGCTCCTCACTGCCAAGCTGTTCCTTTGCAGGAATTCCCAACCCAGGCTCCTCCAAAGCTTCCTCAGACCAACAACCTCTGTTGGCATTTGATGGAACAAAGTCGGATCCTGCCTCATCCCCTAAGTGCATATGGAGTGGTCTTGTGGAGGAATTAAATAAATACAGATACCCCATGGCACACTACAAAGAGTAAATCTTTTTCATGTCATGGTCCTGCATCTGCCAGCTTTCCAGAGCACCAGCAATCCCCAGGGATCCTGTTCTGTCAGCTTCCAAACTTCCCAAGAGAGAGGAGAAGCCCAGCCCCTTTCCCATCCATCCTCATCTTTTTTTTTGGGAAGGGCTGTCTCCAGCAGACCCCGTGCCATTGCAAAGTCAGAACAGCACAGGCAGGATGTGAAAGAACCAGCCCTTCCCACACAGCAACTTTACTAAAAGAAGTATTTTAAGAACTTAAGCCCTCAGAAAAAGGCCCCCCCAGGCCAGAGCCTTCCACAATAAACAGCTCCTGCCCCTGGAGACCTTGCATAGCAACCGGTATCATCAGGTATTTTGTCTTTTTCTTTGTTTTTTTTTGTTGTTGGTTGGTTGGTTGGTTTTTTTGCTGACTGGCTACATTTTTATGGACCTTTTATCCCATTGGCGGTGTACTCAGGCCCAGCTGAAAATACCACGAAGAAAATGGTTGAAATTATCCTGGAAGCTAAAGAACAGCTTCTGGTGTCCCCTCATGTTGGTCTGTGCCTCAGTGTTCCCCGATTTTTCTGAGGTGAAGAGCACCAGTGCGAGAGAGGAGAGACAGCAGCAGTGGAGAATGTGCTGCAGCCTGGCTGGAGAACAACCAGGGAAGTTCTCCTGGTGGAAATGGAAACTGGGGGATGCCTTTTCTTTTTTTTTTTTTTTTTTTTCTTTTTTTTTTTGTGTGTGTGTGTGTGTTTGAAAAACCCACCTGCAAGACGTGTTACACGACACACATCGATGAACGAAGAGAGGCCAAAATTTGGCTTCTCGGTGGTGTTTGCCATGAGCTTCCCTCCATTCCTGCTGGGAGAGGGATGTGCCTGGGAATACTGCCAGGATGGAGTGACAGTGACACCAGAAAAAGACACAACAGAACCTTGTGCATTCCCAAAAAACCAGGAAAACTATCCCAGAAGATGAAACGTGAGGGCAGAAAGGAGCGTGGGAGTTGCTCCAACCCAGGTGATTCACGGATCCAGCATCACTGATTCTTCTCCATCTTCTTTGTTTGGGTGTCAGGATTTGTTTCTTTTTGCAGGATTTCCCTTCCTGGCCAGATGTTTTGCAGAACACGGATGAGGAGGTGGATGCCAGCGAGTGACAATCACGACGTCTTGTTTTGCAAATCGCTCCGACAATGTTTCACCTCCCCAGTCATCACGGCTCGGAGTGAGAGTGAGGGATGCAGTCCATCTCTCAGGTGTCAGGCTGTCATGCTTCAATGATGTTCACTGAGGGCTTGTTTTTTGGAAACTAGGAGAGAAAAACAAAGGGAAAACGGATGTATAGAAGGGAAAAATCACATCAGAGCTCGGTGCAGTCTGCAGGTCGTGTTTTGTGAAAATTCTCCTTCCCACCTCTTCACGATGATGAGGTTTTAGGCTTGTGGGGGTCATCACTGCTTCTGAACCATCATAAATCATTTAAAACACTAAATAAACATGGTGGAGACGTAAACAGAGACGCGAGGAAGTTAAATTAATTGAAAGAAGTTTGGATAAATTAAAGGCTTGACCTATTTACACTTCGACATTGTGTTACCATCTTTGCTCCTGCTGATTAACTCTCCAGTTAATTGAAGGAGCAGTGTCCTCTTTGCCACGTGCTGCTGTGGGAGGACCCAAGAACTCTTTTTTTTTTTATTTTTTTTATTTTTTTTTTCCTCCAGAGATGCTCAGATCATCCAGAAACGTGGCTTGAAATCTGATTTCTGGCGGCCAGGCAGGATGCAGGAGGTGTGGGAGTGAAGCTCTGCTGTCCTGATCAGCAGAGCCGTGGGTGTGCAGGGTGTTCCCTTCCCTCATCCCTGCTGAGAGGGAGGAATTTTAACAGAGGCTTTTTGGGGGTGATTTAACCCAAAAAGCTCACCTTGCTCCGCAGGAGACCCCCTCCCTGGTGCTCGGGTGTGCTGTTCTCCGAGGGGCTCTTGGCTTTCTCCTTGCTGTTGTTGGGCTCGTTGTCTTTGATGATGTCGTACTGTCTGCAGAACAGGGCGATCACCCCTGCGGGGAGAGAGCATCAGCATCACACCAGCGAGCTGAGCAGCCGGCAGGGATCACACATCCCTCTGGCCAGCAGCGCCTCTGCCTCTTCCCTTCCCTTAATTCCATGCTAAACTAGTTAGGCAGGACGACAGAAGATTAATTATATCCCAAGCTCCCTGTTCTGAAGTGTTTTAAACCCTGCTTTTGGATCTCAACCAACATCAACCCCGCGGTTCAGCGAGCACTGGAGCTCCTGGAATTTGTGCCTGGTGAAAACGCGTCCTCTGCTCCTTGTCCTCTGGAGCTGGAGCTGGCAGAGGAGAGGTTCTGAACCTGCCAGCACCTGCAAATGGGCACCAGCACAAGCTGCGAGTGGAAATTTCCTCCCCCACACACCCAGGCACGTGGAGAGGGAAGCAGGGGCAGCCGTGGCACGTAAGATGACTGCAAATGTCTGTCTGAGAAGCTTTTATGTGATGTTTCCACCAAATAACATCGCTGCCTGTGGATTCCAGACACGTAGGTGAAGTGGATCCAGGCAGATGCTGCTTTTTCCTCCCTGAAAAAAAAATCTTCCTTAATAGCCAAATATATTTAAATCTTCCAGCTTCACGTCATGAACTGCTCTGTAAAAGGAGTTTGGCACTTGCCCCCAGGCTTTATTGATAAACACAGTGGCCCAAATTCTTTCTTTGGGAATGTGGGTAAACGGCTGATTCCAGGAGAAAAGGCGTTAACATCTGCCACAGCCACTCCTTGTGTGATTTCAATGGGTAAAACTGACACACAAAGAAGGAAAATGTCATGAAAAAATCCAGGAACACAAGAGCTGGGGCTTGGCTCAGTCCAGAGCCCTGAGCACCGATTGGTTCCATTTGGATTTTCCCAAATATTATCGTGCAGGACAGGTTAAAAGCTGCTTAAAAGAAGGCTTTTGTGTATTGAGACCTTTTAAAGAACCCATTTGATGTCGAGAGATTCTCCCCACACCCCTTTTGCTTTTTTGAATGTAAGTGATTTGTCTGGAAGGGAAATTGTGGGATTAGCAAATTCTTTGTTCCCAGCTGATGGAGTCTCAGATTATTCTACAGCGGGAGATGAATCAGTTGTTCAGTCACCCCATGTAATTATTTATGATTATTTTCCCTGGCAGGGCATTGAAACTGGGATGTGCACAACTAAGACATGGCATAAATGCTGAAAAAAAAATCATAGCCTAGAGGTTCTGGAAATCTTCTAAATTTGTTTAGGTTTTCATGTAATTGTTGGCTTTAGGAATAATTGCTGTCCAGTCTCTGGAGATGCAAATAAAGGCCAAAAAAAAAATTATACATGGATCTGATTCACTGTCACCTGGATTCCTCCATCCCCTTTTGTGATGGGGAAAATTTCTGTGGAAAATTAATGTAAATCTAAATCTAAATCTAAATTAGTGTGTGTGGAGAGCAGGACTCTTAAATCTCTGTTTAGCCTGAGCATAAGAGTCATAAAATATCCAGAAAATTACTGCAACCTGTAATATCTGAAGGACTCAAGGCATATCCTGCTGGATGTTTGGATCCCTGGAAACATTCCAGGACAGGACTTGGAGCAACCTGCTCTGGTGGAAGGTTGGGGTGGAAAAAAAATGATCTTTATGTCCCTTCCAACCCAAACCATTCCACAATTCTGTGGCTGAAGGCATCATAATCAGGGCAGTCTGGAAAAAAATGAGATTACAGGATTAGCCATAGGGAATTGCTTCCATCAAATCCATTTTCTGCTTCCAAACTCGAGCTGCAAAGCCCAACCTGAGGTGCCCTCAGAGCTGAGAACTCCATACTTTTTATACTCTATACCTCCCATACTTTTTTTTTTTTTTGTGGGAGGAAAGGTTTCTTCCATGGTTCCACGTGCAGCCAGGAATTCCTGAGGATATCCCACGGATATTATTTTGAGAGTTGGGACTGACCTGCCCACATGAACAACACCACAACAATGATGAGAATTTCCCCCGCTCGCAGCTGTTGGTTTTTCTTCGCCATCTCCTTCATTGTCACCTCATCTGCACGAGGGCAAAGAGAAACTGTGAGACCCAAAACCCAGCTCAGAGCCTGGTTTAGGAGTGCCCCCGACCCCAATCAGTGTGTCAGGGGCAGAGCCAGCAGGGAGAGAGTCCTGAGGCTTCTTAGGACGCTGAATTAGGATTTAGGAAGGAATTCCTCCCTGTGAGGGTGAGGAGGGGCTGGAATGGATTTCCCAGAGAAATTGTGGCTGCTGCATCCCTGGAAATGCCCAAGGCCAGTTTGGATGAGACTTGGAGCAACCTGGATAAGTGGAAGTGTCCCTGCTCATGGCAGGGGATGGAACAGGATGAATTTTATGTCCCTACCAACCCAAACCAGTCTGGGATTGCAGGATTCATCCTGTGACGTGCAGAGGGAGGAGCAGTGGGACAGAGCAGTGTTATCTGTCCCCATGGCTGCTCTCTCTGCTGTCCCTGTCCCTGTTAGTGCCATCTGCACCTGTCACAAAGCCTTGCATGCTCCAGCAGTTCCAGCTCAGGAGCGTGGAGAGCCTGGCAGGATATTTTTCAGCGCAGCCCTGGGATTCAGAAAAGAGCAGAGCCTTTTTGCAGGGCGTAATTCGCCTCCTTGGCTTGAAAACATTAAGGAGATTACAGTTCAGACCCACAGGAAAGGAGCAGTGCTCCTCTTAGGGTTTCCAGATAAACAGAAATTCAGGATTTAGAGCCTCCAAATCAGTTTAATAAATAGAGTCAAGGACTTGCATCCTCAGAACCACGACCAAAAGCCCCGGAACGGGCAGGGAGGGACCTGGGTGTCCCCACAGCTCTGCACTGCCAGGCCCTCTTTGGAGCAGGATTCTTGCTGACAGAAAAACCCTCAACAGCCTGGTTTGGCTAAAGAGGAGCAAGTGAAGGAATTTTCAGTGAAGAAGAGCCTGATTTTCTCAGTGAAAATGATTTTCCACCTGATTTTCTCCACGGAGATGTTGAAAACCCAGCTGGATGCGATCCTGGACAACCTGCTCTGCTTGACCCTGCCTGGGTGATCTCAAGAGGTCCATTCCAACCTCAGCTCTCTGTGACTTGGCAGGAATGTTGAAAATGTAAGAAAAGTGGGAGCCTCTGGGTATTATTTTCCTCGAAATCCAAGCACAGGAGGCCCTGTGAATCCCACAAGTGGCCTGTGAGCACAGTGGTGTGCCCGGGGGGGCTGATTCCACATGAGTTCACAAGAATCTCCCCTGGCATTCTCCACTTGTAGGGAGCAGGACACAGAGCTGCCAACCTCCTCCTCACTTGGTTAAATCTCATCTAAAACAGGAGAGGGAGCATCCAGCATCATGTCCCTGTCACCTTGTGCCCCCTCAGCACATCCTGAGAGGACACTCAGCCCCATGAGTGTTTATCCATAGGGTTTCTCCTGTTTATTCCATAGGGTTTATTCTGTTTATTCCACAGGATTTATTCTGTTTAT